CTATAGCCCACCAAAATCGCTCAAAATGACCCTTTTTTGATCAAAATGCATGGGCTATAGCCCACCAAAATCGCTCAAAATGACCCTTTTTTGATCAAAATGCATAGTCTCAGTTGAACTACGACGTATTGACGAATCCATTAGTAACATTTAAGTGGTTTTATTATATTTACAAAAGCCATTTTCTTTAGCAATTAAAGATTAAATTCTGGTAGTACATTTAGCTTCCTACGCTCTTCATTATCATCGCAGTCACTATTCTCGTCTTCACTAATGCTACACATGGGGGATAATCTTGACCCTCGGTTTATGTAGTTTTCGATTTTRCCAATCGATGCTAATATAAGTCCTAGGTATGGTGGCGAAGGCTTAAGAGGTCGGCTGATGTATTCAGGGTGATATTGCACTCCAATAAAAAATGGATGATCTGGAAATGGATATGAGAAATGTTGGATGATGATATGAAACATATTGGCTGGTGATATGAAAAATATTGGATGATATGAAAAATATTCAATGATAATAGAAATTATTTTGGATGATATGAAAAATATGTATRTGTGATATGAGAAATATTGGAAGAWGATAAGAAAAATATTGGAGTAGAGAAGGAAGAAAAAGTGAAAACATGAGAATGAAATGTGATAAAATAAAATTATCATGATGGGACATCTTATTCACAAAATTTAAGTTATTTTACTCAGAATAAAGAATAACAGATCTATATCACAATGCTTTGAAGTCAACTTGACTTCATTTTCAAGTATTTTAAAATGGAATCAAAGATGATTCAAGATGACTTTGAAACGTTGTAATATAAATGTGTTATTCTTTATTTTTAGTACCTTATCACAAAATCTTTACATATAAGAATTCAGTTATTTTCAAGTACTTTTAAACACAAATTATCAAACTAAAGGGCTATTCATCGGGTTCTAGATAGTTTTGGAATTTTCCATTTTCAAGTGTTTTTCAACCACAATAASCATGAACCRTATGAAGTCATATTTTTATGAGCCACAATAATTMRTSKAAGTCAACTCTACCTGATAACTCCATGATTTCCATTCTCTCKCCATCAACATCTTTTCCAACAAATTTCATTCCTTTTTCCTCCAAGTCACTCACTTTAGCAGGGTTCACCTGTYRTASRARTCATAAAGATGGACTGGTTGTAAAAAGKWTGATTACTGAATAAAATCCCATTCAAAATCTAAGGAGTGGATAACTTTACCCTTCAAACAACCATTTCAAACAAAGTACATCAGTAAATATTTCTGGAAAACAGCAAAGATCGCAACATTTTGTGAATTAAATTACCTCATATCGATGTCTGTGCCTTTCCTCCACAAATTGAGCATTTTTATAGAGTTTTCCTGATTTAGAAATTACTYATGAGTGCTTATATTAAAACCATGAAAAAAACACTAGGTAAAGCGTGGATTTCACTAGCACATAAGCATAGGCATAAGCACAAGCATGAGAATCGTATGCGCCAGTGAGAACGGCTCGACATTAGCATAAGACATTGAGCATGCGCAGGAGCGTATTTTTTCGGTACCAGGCTATGCTTATGGCTATGCAGTCACGTTGTCACTGAGCATACCCATTGAGATAGGCATGAGATAAGCACAAGAAGATCAAGCCTTGCTCGTTTTTCTTGTGCTTATGCTTATGTTTATTCCGAGCCCGTTCTCACTGGCGCATTCGTGCTTGCGCTTATGCCTATGCTTATGCGCTAGTGAAATCCACGCTTAATAAACAGTGGTCAATTATACTCATAGTGCAAAATACATTTTCTTTTTTCTTCTTGTATTCAACTACACTATTGTGGAATTATCTTAGGTGGGATTGATAGTTAATTGCTTTTGTCAGATTATAAATGTTTTTTATCTTTATTAATGACTCACGTGTAATGCTTTCCTTGTCCTCACAAAAGACAGTACGTCGTCTGCCAAGTCGCATTGTTCCTCCCATTTGACCCGGATTGTGCTCTGGCATGTCAATGACCTTCAAACGAATTCAATATTTTACAATACTTGATACAGTATGTAACATACAGTAGAGCGGGTTTTGTGTGGCGTGCAATGACATAGATAGCAGCAGGGACATGAGACTGTGCTNTTGGTCTTCGCTCCGCATTTCTAAAGATGATAACTTCTCTTAAATACTATGTACTTTCCTATTTGTTTGCTCTGGAGAAAAAAACGACCTCTTCTTGTCGTTTTTTATTGACAATTATATTATTATATTCAGCTTCGTGTGGCTATGGAGGCTTGTACAGTTGTTGGAGCTTTAGTTTTCATATTTTTGGAGGTCAAATTTGGAATTATCCAAGGTTTTGGAACTCAATTTAGATCTTTGGTGAGTAGTTTTATCAAGTAAGGGTGTGCGGACATAATGGAGACAAGCTTTTACGTCATGTACCGTATACGCAATGCATTGTAGGATATATTTGGAACAAAACATGGCAGATTTCTTTTGTTTTCTTTGAAAATTGATCCCACAATGCATTGCAAATCACGTGACGTAAAAGCTTCTGTAAGTCACTATTGTTCTTATTTTCATAGTGGGATGCTCCAGGCAAGGCTTTCTTTTTGATATCGTGTGTACTGGTGGTTATAGCWTGTCCTCTTCGATATACCGATCAAGTTGTCATAGAAACACACCTSATGATATTAGCTGCACCGATGGCATGGAGTTATCTACTGTTTTTCTGTCGGTAAGAAATGGTTTGACGCGACCCTATTCCTCTCCCGCCTGTTTTTTCTATTATTTTCTCTTTTTTTTTTTACTTTTTACGCTTTTCCTCTAGGACACACGAGTCTATTTTTTCATATTGTTCATTTATTTTTTTTCTTTCCATCAGCATATATTGGGAATAAATGGTCACAGTCCATTTATTCATCAAATGAATCATTTCTCATTTAAGTCATTTTCCCATTCGATCATTTTCCCATTCAATCATTTTCTCATTCAATCATTTTCCCATTCAATCATTTTCCCATTCAATCATTTTCCCATTTAATCATTCCCATTCAATTATTTTCCCGTTTAATCATTTTTCCGTTTAATCATTTCCCATTTCAATCATTTTCCCATTCAACTTGTTTTCCTATGTTTTCTTGTTAAAGGGGTTTCAGTGCTATTGGTCCGTTTGTTGGGATGATATATGCGATGTGTGCTGGAGATATGACGCGGTTTTGTATCATATATTTTATATTTTTACTTGGATGCGTACAAGGTTAGTCCTGTTGGTAAATTATGCTCGCCAGACTGATGCGTATCGCAGAAATACAATACATACGCACATTTTCAGTATGTTGATGTTGTTCAGGGACATGTTTATACATGTTTATACATTTTAGACGGCTAAGCTACAGTTGATCCGCATTTATCTGTTCACCGCAGGAATATCGAAAATATATCCTTTTAGCGATCTCTTTTACTCTGTGTTAGCCTCAAAGCCATTCAATTAATTCCTTTATTCATTAACAGYCCGTGCAAATGCAAGAGATCTGTGAGTATGGAAGACAATGGAAATAGTTTGAAATTTCACGAGTTAATCTATAAATTTCCGAATATTTTGAACACAATTGAGGCAAACACAGCGTAAAGTAGATCGCAAATCTCAAATATTGAACGTATATGCTAACGGGTTGGTCGTATTAACGGAGCAGAAAAGTATGAGTGTTTAATTTGTTGCTTGGACGGTATAATGAAGTGGTCGTATAATCGGTTGTGTTTCACAGCGTTATGCCTGCGCTATACTTCCAAATATAATTTTGACGATCAAAGTTATACATTGTCACTGAAAATGATATTTATTTTCATTAATTTATCTATTTTTGTTTTTGTAGCATTCTCTTATCTAATGCAACACATAGAGGGCTACCACAACGAACTAGAGACATTTTTAACTCTTCTTCAAATGACGTTTGGTGATTTCAATGTAAGTGGATTAATTGATCGGTCGGTAGATTGGTTAGTGGGTTATTTTTTTAGTGGGTTGGTTGGTTAGTGGGTTGGCTGGGTCGAGGGTTGATTGGTTTGTTGGTGGGTTGGTTGGTTGGTTTGCTGGGTCGAGGGTTGGTTGGTTGGTTGGTTGGTTGGTTGGTTGGTTGGNCTGCTCTGCCGTCCCTGACTGTGCACAACAATTTTTATTAATTTTTCTTACCACTGGATGYTTGGTATCAGGATCATTTTCTGTTGAATTCGCATCTAAAAAAATACAATATATTAAACATGGGTATTTAGGGTGCCGAAGCCTGGACTTGTGTGCATTATGCACTATAAAAATTCACTCACTTGGACAGGGAATAAGCACAAAAAATTGGAGTAATGAAGAAATAATTACATTATTTGTGAAAAAAATATGATATGTAATATATTGGCTTGTGATATGAAAAATATTGGATGACATGAAAAATACTCAATGGTAATAATCGCTACTCAGGAGAAATCCCTGCAACCAAGTACCCGGGCAACAGTGGGRCATTCTACTGACTAGTGCATAATATGAACAATTTTGGATGATATGAATAATATTGATCTGTGATATGAGAAATATTGGATGCTTGATAGTCAGTTATATCCTCGATAAGTTCATACTAATGAGCAGATATTGTATTCATGTTAATATTTTGTTTGGCAGCTCTGCCTTATATTGAGTAGAGAACTGGCAACGGTTATTTGATATAAATTGAATATTTGTCAAAGTTGACAAACATGAAATTGAACATACCTTTCCATCCTAAGACATTTCTTGCAAATTCTATGACAGCTAACTGCATACCATAGCAAACACCTGTGGAATGACATTGAAATTGAGACATTCAAAGCTTACGMAATGGACCCTGTAAAGCTCATAAATAATTCATATATAAACGACACTAGCATATCATAATATGTTCATAATTCACAATTTAAACACAATGGAAAATCATTGCCTTGACCGCATCTTCATATGAGATTTGTTCTGATTTGCATACGACTTTAACTTCGATTTTCTCTTTAAAATGATATTTTATCTTGACGTTTTTAGAAAAATATGCTTTAGCTTATGTTTGAACTTAATAAGCAATATAAAACATTCACGTCCGCACAGAGCTCCCTCACGTAGCTCACACCTTTAAATGCCCATAAAAGTCGCCTGCTCATATTTTAAATATCACTTATTAGTTGCTGATTATTAAGAATTGTTTCACGTTTTTTTGTGTGTTTTTTTTTAATGCACACTCTAGGCTACAATTTTCATTTTCAGTTCTTTTTAGTTACCTAAATAGGGAACTGTTTTAGTCCTTTAGTCGCCCTCTCATGTTTTATATATCACTTTTAGTTGCTGATTATTAAGAATTGTTTCACGTTTTTTGTTTTGTTTTTTGTTTTTAATACACACTCTAGGCAACAATTTTTATTTTTAAGTTCTTTTTAGTTACCTAAATAGGGAACTGTTTTAGTCCTGGCCCATTCTGCTGCAGCAATCTTTCCTTCAGTCCCTCTTTTCCCAAAACCACCAGGTACAAGAATCCCTCTAGAAATGCCAAAAAATAATGTAA